CGATCGTTCGATCGTGTCTTGCAGCCATTTTAGCATTAATTTGTCCACCAGTTTAGCATAGTTCTGGACATCTGCAATTGAGGTTGTCGCATTTAGAACTAATTCGGGGCAATCGAATGGCAGTCTCCCAGTTGCAGTCATTAATTCCGAGGCCCAACATCTTTTGACGCCTTTGGCAGAGAGCTCGAGTGAGCTATTTAAAGCTGCGCGGGCGTAGTGGCTGTCATTGAGTCCAAGGAAATAAACAAGGTGCTGTAGGATTAACTGAAGATGTCGAACTCTAATTGGTGTTATCCCAGTCTCTGTGAATAAGGGCGCGACCATTGAACGAGAATGCAAATTTAGCATATGTCTAATGAGTCTGATCTGAACCATCGTGAGCTGTTTGATGTGAACATCCTCGCTATCTGGCGTGACTTCGCATGCATGGGTAAGATGGCAGTCAATTCTAGCCATGTAGAGTTCTTTTAGCTCCTTCGGCGTCAGCCTGCCTGTCATGTCTTCAATTGCCATGATACGATACCCGCAATAACGAGCAGTGCGCGCTTTGGCCTTATAATGTGCCTCTAGGATATTTTGGGTATCTGTCCTGAACAGAACTCCGACATATTTCTCCTCTGACTCGTTCTTTAGCTGCGTAGTTCCAAACATGAAGACCGGGAGTGCTTGAGTAGGTGGCGACGTCCTCCCATATTCGAAAATCGAGATTATTGTCTTGATCATATTGATGAGAATGAAATTTCGAGCGCACCATTCGTGGAGAGTGTGGAGTTTCCCTGAAGACCACGCGCAGAGAGCGACACTAGTAGCATATCGTCTGCTTGTGCAAGCAGGGAGATTTGGACAGCCACCAGGAAAATATCATCCTTGTCGGGCATCATTTTCAAATTGGCGAGAAACAGGTTCCAAAGATTTGGCGAGGCAGGATCTCCTGTAAGGAGGCCGATGAGCGCCTTGAATTCTTCTGACTCCATATCTCCGTGGCACACGTAGTATTCCATTCGTTTGTACAGCATGCGAAGCCAGTCAAAGATTGCGCCGCCCATACCCAGTCGGAATAATTTCAACCAAAGGGTTGGTTGGTCCGTAGAAGGGAAAGTGTTCGAGGCGTCAATTGCAGCGACATAGAGGTTCTTTTTGTGCGCCGTGGCCCAATCCCTTAGACAGCGTAGAATAAACGGGTTGTTATTTGTGCGATAACCCGGTCTAAATCTGTTTTGCCAGTCGGGTATAAGACCTCTCGTCCCGGCCCAATCATGAATCCTCCAGTGAATGAGCACTGTCAGAGCTTTCAGAAAACAGCTTTCGAGTGCTATTAGTCTGTAGCTGTCCGGGTTGTCTTGTGGTTTGGTCCTATTTAGGTGAATCGCTTAAAAACTTCGCTGAAATGTTTAAAGTGGGAATCGGCAGTTGCCGCTGCACGTGAGGCTGACGTGAGACTGTAAAGGTACTGCCACAGGTGATTGACACAAATCAAAAATTGGGTTAGGGTTATCTGTCGACCGACAAAGCTACAAGCTGATTATTGGCCAAGAGAGCAGGGTATACAGGAGATGTGGGGCACAATAGCACCCTGTGAGGTTGTCTCTTCCGCTCTCCGCGCCAGCGTTACGCTGTGCACAGCAGCGGGAAAATCTAGGTGACTTCGCTACGATCTCTGGACGCCCGTATTTTCTTTCCTCCGACTCCTCAAAGCTGGGATTCTGCTCGGCGCGGTTCCTCTCGACCCAGCAACACTTTTATTAGCTGGAGGGGGGGGGGATACAGGCCGTAGCAAGAATTCGCCAATTTGATGATCGTCAGAGAGGCCGATTCTGATGTCGATTCTGACATCGGCTCTGGCGTCGATTCTTGGACCGATTTTAGCCGAGAATCCAGAATCGAAACCAGAATCGTCTGAATCGAGTTCCTCCTCGAGAGGAGGAACAGCCAGAATCGGAATCGGTCCAGTAGCTGAAAATTACATAATCTATTATTTTACTTCTCTCCCGCCTGTCTAATAGCCAATACCTCTTCGCCCTCAGCTTGACGTGTCAAGCTGGCACACGCAACCGCCCACGTCAGTTTGTTCCTCTGCTGCCGGGCGGCGCGCCTGCGTTGGCAGCGGGCGGGACGAAGAGGATCGCGAACGGCGCAGGCGGCGTAGCGTCCTCCGCCTGCTGCTGTTGTTGATGCTGCGGCAGCCGCGTCCTTAAACCCTACCCCACCACCGCCCCACCGCGGCCGCCGCCCAGCCCCTCCGCCCAGCCCCTCCACGTCGCGTCCCAGTGGCTCCATGCATCCGCGCGCCAGCCTACAGGTTCGTCACAAAGACGTGCACACCCGCGCCCATGCCGTCCCGCTGTATAGTAACCACCCGCGTCCCCTCCGCCGAAAAAGCGAGCCCGCCGACCGCGCGAAACGCGTGGATCGTGCACAGCGGCGCGTCGTCGCGGATCGTGCGCAGCGGCGCGTCATCGTCGACCGTGCGCAGGGGCTCGTCTTCCGCAGCGTACCACAGAATGTCATCCACCACGCCCCCAGATCCACCATCCCCGCGCTCCCGCCGCCCCCACCATGCCCATGCCCACCCCTGCGCGCATCATCATCATCCCCTGCCCCCCGCTCACCGACCCCGCGAGCACCGATGGGGCGCGCTGTGCAAAGAGAAGTGCCCGCGGCCCGTGACAGCCTTCGCATTCTGCGGCGGGCGCGGAGGGTGGAACGTGTGCGGACGGCGCGGCATACGGCGTGGCGGTCGTATGCGCGAACGGCACGGCATACGGCGTGGCGTAGAGCAGGCGGACGGCGCAGGCGCGAAGAACACAAGCAGGCTGCCGTGCAGCGCGCAGATCGTCGGCGTGGTGCTGCAGGGAGGAGTACGCCGGGGGGACGAAGGAGGATGGGGGCGCGGAGGCGGGGCTGCTGCCGGCGGTGATGTTGCTCGTGGTGGTTGCGGTGGGGGTGCGGTATCGGCGGGACATCGGCGTGAGGGCGGCGAGCGCGGAGGCGGGGACGGCGTGCGCTGGGCCGGGCGCGCGAGGACGGGGCGAGTGGGTGCACTGGGAGGAGAGGAAGGAGGTTATGAGCAGTTGAGGGCAGAGGGGGGAAGGCTTACGACTATGATGAGGCGGTCCGTAGAGACTCCTGATGCGAGTTTTATGGTAGGTTTTGAAGACGGTAGTGCCCTCCTTTAACACGACGAACGACGGGGAATGGACATTGACGCGTCGGGTGTAGGATGGGCGGCGCGGGCAATCACAAGATATTAATTGCAATATACTATTTTAACGCTGTCTTTGGAAAATTGAAATCCCCTGGAATCGCGGTCAGAGCCGCTGTCGATTCTGGAGCGATTCTGAAATCAAAATCGAAGTCAGAATCGGCCTCAGAATCGATGCCGTCTGACCGCTTTGACTTCCCCTAAATGGCGAGGACTCTCCCGGTGGCAGGATCTGATCACAAAATGGTTAAGCATAAATCATCCGGGCATGCATAGAGACTCGGCATTTCAGGGGCATATTCATGAAACATCAGAGCAGATACTTTGAGCAGTAGTTTCGTGAACAGAGCCAGTTGGAAACACGTCGCAGTACCTCCCAAAGCAAGGGGTCACGGAAACCTTAAATCCGGATATTGACATGCCCCTAAACACGTGACAAGTGGCCGGGGTCTTTGCTTACATCACTCACTGCAAAAGTAATAGATTCGAACCAGTTGAGTAAGATGAGAGTGGTTAAAGTGCAAAGATAAACACAGGAGACCGCCGGAATCATTATTAGGGCCGGACGCCCAAAAATTCAACAAAATCATCGCACTGGCCGCTTTCTGCACTCCCGAGGGAGTTCTATAGCCAAATTTGGGCTCATATGGACACCTCGAGCCTCTGGAGGAGTTCAAATTCAACTAAGGACAAGAAAACCAGCATACAGTGGACAATTTGAGCTGCGGGGCTCTAAACTACTCATTAGTAGGCTCAACCATCATTCCAGAGACCAAAACGGGATGACAGTTTCCATATAGAGCCGCGGAACAGCGGACCGAGTGGTGGTGGTGGTCTAGTGAGTGTTCGGGGTCCTGATGGGAGGTTTCGGGGGGGTTGATGCCGGAGGTTTGGTTTCCAACACCCCTTGTCCCAAAGACGCACATGTAGCCCAGTGACAGCATCCGCATTGGGTGGCGGATCATCGGACGGAGCGGGACCCGACTTGGTGGTTGCAAATTCGGGGAGGTTTCCCACTGGCCATATTATGTACGCCGCTCAGTGTTTTTAAGGTTGAGATTATCAAGAGATATCATAAGTAAATGAAGAAGAATATTGGTTTCGGCGGGAGTCGAACTCGTGACCAGCCAACTAAAATCGAAGCGGGGACTTCCCGCGCTTCGTAAGTTCACCGAGTTCACGAGGTTCACAGCAATCTGGTGCACTTTCTGGTTCAAGGATTTACTAGGCACGGGCGAGGCGTGGCTTCTTGACGTCGTGCGGTCGATCCGGGCTATGCGATGCGCTCTGACCAGCCCTCTCATCTGTCTTGTAAGGTGCCTACGAATTCATCTCCTGGTTGAAATTATATTTAATTTCTCATCTGAAGCTGCGCACTTGTCCAGGACGTACTCTGTCGGGGAAAGGGTTTTATAAACGAGTGTGGATGTCGTGTTATAGTTTTTTAGGCTGGCGAGATCTGGCAGAGATAACATATCTACAGATTTGGCCACGCTAATCCACTGCGGACCTGTACGTCCCCCTCGCCCAGCCGAATGGATTCTGTATCGATATCCTGCGTCAGATTACTATCCCTGGGACCACTGCTTGAATTTTACTCTCGCAGTCCCCGACATGCCTGGCACTTTCAAGTTTCGGGACAGCGAGGGCTGAAAATCAAGGGTAGCTTTATCATGGCAAGTTCGTTCAATAAATAATACATACCTCTACATTATACCGGATAGAATCATAGCCTCATCGTCCTTAAATTTGATCCATATTGAACAATAAACAAGTTTTTGAACAGAACAAAAACAAACGGCCTGACCTTGATTTGAACAAGGGACTTCCTCCAATCAATTCACAATATATCCATGATTTGAGGACATGTTTCCAACTACACCACCAGGCCCTAACAATTTCACAAAATTGCCGCCTCTAATGCACCGATTTTGAAGGTTGAACAATCAATAAACAATAAAATAATAGAAGACCAAATAGCCTGACCTTGTTCCTCATAACTATTTCCAAAACATCCCGACTGAAGAGGACGTGTTTCAACTACACCACCATGCCTTATTATTCTTGCAAAATCCGAAAAATTGATTGAATACACGGATTCAAGGTTGAACAATAAAACAGTGCTAGAAAAAACAAATAACCTGACCTTGATTGGAACAAAGGACTTTCTCTGATCACCAACATCTGGGTATGAAGAGAACGTGTTTCCAACTACACCACCAGACCTTGTCATACCAAAACTATGCGTGAGCCATGTCAAACAATTGAACAATAATTTTTTGAAACAGTAAAGAGAAAACGACCAGACCTTGATTCGAACAAGGGACTTCCTCATACTGTAGGTACGCTCCTACAGAGGAAGAGGACATGGTTCCAACTACACCACCAGGCCCTACAAAAAGAAACTAATGGTATTATTGAACAGATGCTTCGAGATCAAAGTTGGAAAAAAGAGAGCTGCAAAGGAGACGGCCTAGCCTTGATTCGAGCGAGGGACTTCCTCATCATCATGAAGGAATATTTGCGAACATGAAGGGGACGTGTTTCCAACTACACCACCAGACCCTGCAAAAGCCTGAACCAATGTTCGATACCTGGACCCGATTCAAACATTTGTGCCTTTTTTTTTACACGGCGTGATTGATTGAAAAAATCCCGTGAGTGTACATGTATTTCATTCAGGATCTCTGTCAAAACGCCCGCTTCCCGAAAATGGTTCTTACCATTTGTCCCGCTTTGGCTCGGCCAAAGCGCGCTTTCGTGTGCACGTGTCAAATAAATTATTTATTCAGACCGAATTAATTAATACACGTACACCCGACGGTAGAATAGACAAGTACAACAACGATCCACACAGTCTATGTATACCGAAAACACCTGCTTGACAACACACACACATACAGCACATGTACACCTACTTGAACCCGCTCCACAAATCCCCAAACGCATCGTCCTTCTTCTGCGCCTGCGCCTGCGGCTGGTCAAATGCGCCGAACGGGTCGGCGGCCAGTGGCGGGCTGGCGGCGGCGCCCCACACGGCCGCGGTATTCGTCAGGCCGCCCATGCCCGCACTACTCGTCGGCGCGCCCCACTGCGCACCTGCACCTGCACTACCATTTGCTGGTGCGCCCCACAATTGCTGCTGGTGTTGCTGCTGCGGCACGCTCCACCCGGACGCGGCGCCCCACATGCCGTGCCGCTCGTGCCCATCATGCTCTGGGCAGCGGGCTGTTGCTGCGCTACGCCAACGCTGAACTGCACTTGCTGCTGCGCAACACCGAATTGCGCCTGGTGCGGGACACGGGGGCGCCGAACCCCTGCCCTCCAAACCCCGGCTACCCGCCAAACCCCGGCTGCTGCGCAGGCGCGGCGTTGAACAGCGACAGAATATCCTGCTTCTTCGTCTGGGCCCGCGCGGGGTTGGGTTGGGGCACCGCAGCTGCGGGCGCGTGGAAATCGAGCATGAAGAGGTCCTACTCTGGCTTGGGCGGCGAGGGGCGTCAGTGCCGGGACTGCCCTCTTGGCGGTGGTGATGGTATTATATTGGTCATGTTCGCGGAGATGAGGTGGTGGCGGGCCTGAAGCTGGCGGGTGGTGACAGTGGGCTGGGACGGGCGCGGGGGGGGGGGACGCCCCATCCGATGGGGTCGGGCGAGGTGAAGGGCGCGGGCGCGGGCGCGGGGTCGGGGTTTGTGGCTGCTGCTGCGTCGTCGGGGGATTGGGTGTCGAGGACGGACGGGTCGATGGGGGGCGGCCCGTCGAGCGCTCAGCGGCGCGACTCGTATTTGGAGCGCACGAAGGATTCCATTTTGCTGTGAATACCTATTATTTTATTTCATTTTTAGACAATGGAGATCAAGTATAATCCTCCAGCGGGCGATGCGGATCGTGCACCTTCTCCTTCACCACGAGCCGCCAGGGGATCAGCACTTGCCCCACGTAGCGCCCGTCGGGTTTTCGTCCGGCCCCAGGCGGAATTCGTCCGCGTTGAGGAGTAGGACGTTCAGAGGCTGGTCTGTGCCCGCGAAGGAGCCGATGAAGATGCGACCGTCGGTGATGGTTATGCGGAGCATCTGGGTGAGGAGATCCGAGAGGCGGTCGACTGCAGCGGACGTAGTAAAAGGCTAGTGATTTGACTTGTTTGTTATGTCGACGTCACGATCACGTGTACAAGAAGACGCGCTTTGACCGCAGACAACTCACGACACATAGATGGACGAGGTCGCACCGTGTAGTCTCTTTCTTATCTGGATTAATTACTAAACTATCGATGTCAATGCTGGCGGAGTAAACTTCTAAAACGCAAAATGAGATGAAATTATTGTGGATCAATTCCCTGTAAAAGTGCGGAGCGCGACAACGGAATTACTAAATTAATTATATAGTTGTTGCCTAGGTCTAGTACTAGCGGGGTACAGTGCGATTAGTTTAAACTTCCTGGCCCTCCTCTGTGGGCTCAAAACATCCGTCTACGATCGAACAGGTGCGAGTTTCGGCGGAGGACGACCTGCGTTGGAGAATGATTATTAAGTATGAGGGTGATGAGCTGCGAATGAGGCTAGGACTTACGCGTCCCGGATTTGAACTACGGGTTCTGCTGTGGGCTCGAAGCAGCCGTCTGCAGCTGTGCAAGTCCGAGTTTCGAGAGTGGGCTCTTCTGTGGTCTCGAAGCAGCCGTCTACAATCGTGCAGGTGCGGGCTTCGAGTTGAACGGGCACCTCGGTGGGCTCGAAGCACCCATCTGCAGCTGTGCAAGTCCGAGTTTCGTAAATGGGCTCTTCTGTGGTCTCGAAGCAACCGTCTACAATCGTGCAGGTGCGGGCTTCGAGTTGAACGGGCACTTCGGTGGGCTCGAAGCATCCATCTGCAGCTGTGCAAGTCCGAGTTTCGAGAGCGGGCTCCTCTGTGGTCTCGAAGCAGCCGTCTACAATCGTGCAGGTGCGAGTCTCAAGTTTAACGGGTTCTTCGGTCGGCTCGAAGCACCCATCTGCAGCTGTGCAAGTCCGAGTTTTGAGTGAGGGCTCCTCAGTGGTCTCAAAGCAACCATCTACAATCGTACAGGTGCGAGTCTCGACGAGGACGGGCTCTTTGGTGGGCTCGAAGCACCCATCTGCCGCTGAGCAAGTTCGAATTTCGAGGGAGGGTTCCTCTGTGGTCTCAAAGCAACCATCCACAATCGTGCAGGTGCGAGTTGTCTGGTGCGAATACCAAAAGAATTATAGTGAGTCGACCAGGAAATAAATTGTATGCGACAACTCACAATGGGGCGAGCCATAGAGGCTGTCGCAAGCGCAAGCACAAAAAGAGTAGAGCGTTTGTTGAACATGTTGAACTTATTGAGCCTGGGCGATGTAGAGGAGTTCGAGGCAAGATCTAGAATGGAAGATTATGGAGTAGTTCTCTCTTGTGGGTGTCATCTTATAGTTTCTAGACGAGAGGAGAGCCGAGAACGCATGTAAGCATTAATGTCGGCGGTGTATAGATTCCGTATCGATATGAAGCTGAGATACCTGAGGCTGTCCTGGCGCGCGAGTTTTGATGCCGACGCTTCGAGGTTGAAAGGTCTGTAGTCAACTCAATTCTAACACAAATCTGGAGCTGGGTCGAACCATAAACGAGATGAAAAGTGGATTTAAACTCTAACATTTGTTTCAGATTATCGGGTGTTGCTTGAATTATTGGGGAGGGATCTGGAATCACTGCAAAATCCTTGGCACGCGGAGGCTGCCAAGGGAGCGCCGACCGCGAGGAAGTTCCAAATTCGGGCGCAGGATATTTCCCGATGCGATGTTGGTGGTTGTCTTACAGCACCGCTTCTTCGTTGTCGGAGAGTAATGCATCTTGAGTGCATCCGACAAGTTTTGAATCTAGTTGCAGCTGGAGTCCTGAGACTGAGAGCCCGCGCAAATTGTGTTGACTTCGGTGCCAATGGTTCGTGCCTCGGCTCGATCAACTCGAGCTGAGGCGTAGCGCCTCTGGAACGATTTTCGAAGACACGTATTGCAACTTTTACGATCCATTGGCCATGGCGGTCCGAGTTTAGTCCGAGCCAAGTTTGTTATCGGACCTTACTTGTACCGAGAACACTGCCACAATATTTCATTCTCACGCCTAAAAGGAAGCTGTAGAGCAAAGCGTCGAGAGAAGAAAACGAGGGCACCAAGAACCGGCAATAGCACATGATAACACCAGTCGCGGGAGCAAACGCCAAAAGGGAAGTGCATTTTCTTTGGTTGAACCGTTGAACTCAGTTCGGCCACGAATGGACTCCGTATCGATATCCTGCGTCTGACTACATGCCAGGCTGGGACTATTGCTTGAATCATAATCTTGTACCCCCCGACACTGGCAAACCTAATACTTTCAAACCTCATATTAGATGGGGACACGCGAACTCAAACAGGGCTGAAAATCAAGGGTAACTTTATCATGGCAAGTTCGTTCAATAAATAATACGTACCTCTACAGTATACCGGACATAATCATAGCCTCATCATCCTTGAATTTGACTCTCCATGTTGACCAATAAAACAAGTTTTTGAACAGAACAAAAATAAATAGCCTGACCTTGATTTGAACAAGGGACTTCCTCCAATCGACATCGCGATGTTATCATGATTTAAAGACATGTTTCCGACTACACCACCAGACCCTGGCACTGTCACAAAATTACCGCCTCTAATGCACCGATTTTGAAGGTTGAACAAATCAATGAACAGTAAAAACAGTGGAAAATCAAACAGCCTGACCTTGATTCGAACAAGAGACTTCCTCTGACTAATCTTAAAGAGCCTAGATATGCAGAAAGGGTATGTTTCCAACTACACCACCAGACCTTGCTATGCTAAACTTTGCGTGATCCATGGCGAACAATTGAACAATAAATTGTAAACCGGTCAAAAAAAGAAAAACAGCTTGACCTTGATTTGAACAAGGGACTTCCTCATACCTAATTCCGTGAGTCGAGCCCGCACATGAAGAGGACATGTTTCCAACTACACCACCACGCCTTACAAAGTTCCAAACCAATAGTATTATTGAACAGATACATTCGAGATCAAAGTTGGAAAAAGAAATGCACCATACAGTCTTTAACCGGGAAGCGAAACACCACGTGTTTTGCATCATTTGAGCATCCCCCAGCGCCCAATCTTTTTGAGCGCATTCTATAATATCTAAAACTCATATTCACGAAAGGAATTTGCCAGGGAGCGCTTCAAGAGCTCAAGAAAAAAATCGCTATTTTGAGTTACTGTTTGGCTCAGTTTTACAACTTATCGAGCTGCCCGGGTCCCCAGCTGCTGGGCAGTAACTTTACAGTCATGGCATGCTGTGGGGGTTTTTAAGGTCGTAGAATCATAATATGACCACCCCAGGTCTTCAAAGCCACTCCATCGTGCCCATCGTAGTGTTTCGCTTCGTGGTTTATGGCAGAATTTGATGGTATCACTAAATTGGGCCCGTTCTCCACCAATACTTCACCAATTCACTCCAACCTTTCTGTAGACAGGTAGCCACGGAATATTTACATCGACTGGAAAAAAGTTTGAATGAATATAACTCGTGATCACGGAGTAAATCACGATATTGTCTAATCATTTCGCTTCTAGGTTAATGGCTGTATCAAACCTTGATTCAAACAAGGGACTTCGTCATACCCTCGAGGAGTTCCTAAACATGAAGAGGAGGCGTTTCCAACTACATTACCAGGCCTTAAATTGCCTCTCTAAAACTTCCACTGGGCCTTGCCAGCTCCAAAGATTCCCATACTGGACCAGAAATTTCTGCCGTTTTTTTACACGGCGTGACTGATTGAAAAAATCTCGCGAGTGTTTTTCTTTCAGCATCTGTCAAACCGACTGCTTTTCCAAAACGAAAGACGGTTCTTACCATTTGCAATAATCGTATGTCCCGCTTTGGCTCGGCCAAAGCGCGGTTTCGCGTGCACGTGTTCAAATAAATTATCCAGACCCGAATTAATACATGTACACCCGGCGGTAGAATAGGCAAGTACAACAACAACGATCCACACAGTCTATACCGAAAACACCTGCTTGACAACACACACACATACAACATATGTAAGCGAGATGAAAAGCGGATTTAAACTCTAATATTTGCTTCAGATTGTTGGGTGTTGCTTGGATTATTGGGGAGGGATCTGGAATCACTGCAAAATCCTTGGCACGCGGAGACTGTCAAGGGAGCGCCGACCGCGAGGAAGTTCCAAATTTGGGCGCAGGATATTTCCCGATGCGATGTTGGTGCTTGTCTTGCAGCACCGCTTCTTCGTTGTCGGAGAGTAGTGCATCTTGAGTGCATCTGACAAGTTTTGAATCTAGTTGCAGCTGGAGTCCGGAGCCTGAGAGCCCGCGCAAGTTGTGCTGACTTCAGTGCCAGTGGTTCGCGCCACGACTCGATCAACTCGAACTGAGGCGTAGCGCCTCTGGAACAATTTTCGAGGACACGTATTGCAACTTTTGCGATCCACATCAGCAAAATGACAAAAAACTTGTGCTCTTGTGTACTTGTTTCTCTTGTTCCAAAAAGAAAAGACCGTGGAAATGAGTCCTGGAAGTCAATGCGTACTTCAAAAAAAAAGAAAGAAAAAATCACTTGTCGGGTTTCGAACATAGCCTGTCGGCTTGTCAACTTTTTGTCTTGTTTTACCTTTACAAGCTTGTACAAGACCCAACAAGTAAATTGTTAAAAACCTGATGCATTGGCCGTGGCGGTCCGAGTTTAGTCCGAGCTAAGTTTGTTATCGGACCTTGCTTGTACCGAAAACACATGCCACAACATTTCATCCCACGCCTAAAAGGAAGCTGTAAAGTAAAGCGCCGAAAGAGAGAAAAAAAAAAGGGCGACAAGAACCGGCGATAGCACAACACCGGTCACGAGAGCAAACACCAAAATGGCAACGCATTATTTTTGGTTGAACCGTTGAACCCAGTTCGGCCACGAAATATCGATATCCTGCGTTTGGCTACTTATCCCCTGAGACCATTACTTGAATTATAATCTTGTAGCCCCGACACTGATACCTTCAAGCTTCATATTAGATGGGGACAGCGAACCCAAACAAGGCTGAAAATCAAGGGTAACTTTATCACGGCAAGTTCGTTCCAAGTTCGTTCAATAAATAATACGTACCTCTACAGTATACCGGACAGGATCATAGCCTCATCATCCTTGAATTTGACTCTCCATGTTGACCAATAAAACAAGTTTTTGAACAGAACAAAAACAAATAGCCTGACCTTGATTCAAACAAGGGACTTCCTCCAACTGAAGGGTTATTGCGTACTATGATTTGAGGACATGTTTCCAACTACACCACCAGACCCCAGCACTATCATAAAATTACTGTCTCTAATGCACCGGTTTCGAAGGTTGAACAATTAAATAAAACAGTGGAAAAAAATAGCCTGACCTTGATTCGAACAAGGGACTTTCTCTGATTGATCTAAAGGGAAAGTGAAAAGAACATGTTCCAACTACACCACCAGGCCTTTTAAGACTGAGACTATGCGCGATTCATGCGGAACAATTGAACAATAAATTGTAAACTAGTCAAAAAGAAAAAAATAGCCTGACCTTGATTCAAACAAGGGACTTTCTTTGATCGACATGCGTCGAACACCTTATATGAAGGGAACATGTTTCCAGCTACACCACCCGCGTATCCCGTCGGCCTATTGTCTAACTCGTGAGATGTCTACCTACTGATAAGTAGGTTCAAGGACTACCGCAGCGCCGTGACAGCCGATGACTGTAGCGTACATTTGGACGTACCTGCTTGTTCCTTTTAGGGACCACCGCAGTAATACATCCTCTTCCTCCTCTTCCTCCTCCTCCAGGCCTTATTATAGTAAAACTTTGCGTGATTCATGTTGAACAATTGAACAATAAATTTTTGAAACAGTAAAAAGAAAACAGCCAGACCTTGACTCGAACAAGGGACTTCCTCATACCCAGAAGATAATGTGCCACACAAAGAGGACATGTTTCCAACTACACCACCGGGCCTTACAAAAATCTAAACCAATGGTATGATGCATTCGAGATCAAAGTTGGCACTGAATAAGGGAGGCGGCCTGACCTTGATTCGAACAAGGGACTTCCTCATAACTATTTCCAAAACATCCCAACTGAAGAGGACGTGTTCCAATTACACCACCAGGCCTTATTATTCTCACCAAATCCGAAAAACTGATTGAATACACGGATTCAAGGTTGAACAATAAAACAGTAGAAAAAACAAACGGCCTGGCCTTGATTCGAACAAGGAACTTTCTCTGATTGACTTTAGAGAAGCAGTTAATAGAAGAGAACATGTTTCCAGCTACAGCACCAGGCCTTATTATTCTCACTGTCACAAAAGTCCGATTTCGCTTATAACCTTCTATAAGGCCTTTCTGAGCCTTAGCGTGAAATTAAGCGAGGTTACAGGGTCTTATAAGTGCTTATAATCTTGCTTAATTTCACACTAAGGCTCAGAAAGGCCTTATAGAAGGTTATAAGCGAAATCGGACTTTTGCAACAACAAAATCTGAAAAATTGATTGAACACACGGATTCAAGGTTGAACAATAAAATAGTAGAAAAACAAACAGCCTGACCTTGATTCGAATAAGGGAATTTCTCTGAAAAACTTCGGAAGGGCAATATGAAGAGAGTATGTTTCCAACTATACCACCAGGCTTTATTATTCCCACAAAATCCGAAAAACTGATTGAATACTGTACCAATCCTAATGACTGAAACGGACCTTGAACCGTTACTGAAACAATTTGGTAGCAACGTGAAACACCCACACCGTTATGCGTTACATACCTAAAATGTTGAAACAGCCACACTAAAGCCATCACTTATTGTGGGTGAGGCTGACTAAGTTTTGAATTAGAGGGGTTTGAGGACGAACATGAGGTCCAGATTTACTCCTACACAATGTCCTTGCATAAATATATTAAATTCTGCTGCTGGGGGAAAAAAGAGTAACGGTTTTTGAAAGAAACGACCCTTCCGTTATGCGTTACATTTGAAACGAAACGGTGTCCCCGTTACGCGTTACGTTTCAGTCATTAGGATTGGTACAGTACACGGATTCAAGGTTGAACAATAAAACAGTAGAAAACTAAATAGCCTGACCTTGATTTGAACAAGGGACTTTCCCTGATCAACTTGAAAAGCACAAATATGAAGAGAGCGTGTTTCCAACTACACCACCAAGCTTTATTCTCACAAAATCTGAAAAATTGATTGAATACATGGATTCAAGGTTGAACAATAAAAGAGTAGAGAAAATAAATAACCTGGCCTTGATTCGAACAAGGGACTTTCTCTGATGGATACTTGGACTTATATATATGAAGAGAGCGTGTTTCCAACTACACCACCAGGCCTTATCATACCACAACTATGCGTGATCCATGTCAAACAATTGAACAATAATTTGTAAACCAGTCAAAAAAACAGCCCGACCTTAATTTGAACAGGGGACTTCCTCATACACAGAGTCGGTCCAACAACATGAAAAGGATGTGTTTCCAACTACACCACCAAGCCTTATAAAACTCTAAACCAATGCTGTCCTTGAAGTAATTGATGCATTCGAGATCAAAGTTGGAAAAAAAAAAAAACACAAGCGTGGAACAGCCTGGCCTTGATTCGAACAAGGAACTTCCTCATGATCGAGGAACTTCGCCTACATAAAGAGGACGTATTTCCAGCTACACCCCCAGACCTCAAATTACTTCTCTAAAACTTCTATTAGGCCTTGCCATCTCCAAAAATTTCCATCCTGGACCAGAAATTTCTGCCGTTTTTTTACACGGCGTGATTGATTAAAAAAATACCGTCGAGTGCGCAAATGTATTCCTTTCAGGATCTCTCCGCTTTTCCAAAACCAAAGACGGTTCTTACCATTTGTAATATGTAATTGTATGTCCCCATTTAGCTCGGCCAAAGCGCGCTTTCGCGTGCACGTGTTCAAATAAATGATTCAAACCGAATTAATACAATGTACACCCGGCGGTAGAATAGGCAAGTACAACAAACACGATCCACACAGTCTATGTATACCGAAAACACCTGCTTGAAAACACAACACATACAGCATATGTACTCCTACTTGAACCCGCCCCACAAATCCCCAAACGCATCGTCCTTCTTCTGCGTCTGCGCCTGCGGCTGGCCAAATGCGCCGAACGGGTCCGCTGGCGGGCTGGCGGCGGCGCCCCACACGGCCGCGGTGTTCGTCAGCCCGCCCATTCCCGCACTACTCGTCGGCGCAACGCCCCACTGCGGTGACTGCGCGCCCGCACTCCCATTCGCGGGCGCGCCACCCCACAATTGCGTTTGTTGTTGTTGTTGCGGGGCGCTCCACCCGGACGCGGCGCCCCACATGCCGGTACCGCTCGTGCCCATCATGCTCTGCGCGGCGGGCTGTTGCTGCTGCTGCTGCTGCTGCTGCCACTGCTGTTGCTGCTGTGCTACGCCGAACTGCGCCTGCTGCTGCGCAACGCCGAACTGCGCCTGTTGCGGAGACACGGGGGCGCCGAACCCCTGCCCGCCAAACCCGGGCTGCCCGCCATACCCCGGCTGCTGTGCAGGCGCGGCGTTGAACAGCGACAGGATGTCCTGCTTCTTACTCTGGGCCTGCGCGGGGTTGGGTTGGGGTGCCGCGGGCGCGGGCGCGTGGAAGTCGAGCGTGAAGAGGTCGTCTTCTGGCTTGGGTTGCGGGGGCGGCTGCGGCTGTGCGGCGGGGGGGGTTAGCGCCGGGACTGCCCGCTTATTGGCCGGGGTGTTGTTATTATTATTGTTGGGCATGTTGGCGGAGATGAGCTGGTGGCGGGCCTGGGGCTGGCGGGTGGTGACGGCGGGCTGGGACGGGCGCGGGGGGGCGACGCCCCAGCCGATGGGGTCGGGCGAGGAGAAGGGCGCGGGGGCGGGGGCGGGGTCGGGGTTTGTGACTGCTGCTGCGTCGTCGGGGGACTGGGTGTCGAGGACGGACGGGTCCGTGGGGAGCGGCCCGTCGAGCGCCCAACGGCGCGACTCGTATTTGGAGCGCACGAAGGATTCCATTTTGCTGTGCATACTTATTATTTTACCTTAATTTTAATTTATTGGGGACGCACTGCTCTGGTGGGACGTGGCCGGGCTTGAGGTGGGCCTCCCAGTAGAGATTTGCGAGTCGGTTTCCCCATTTCAGGATGCTCTGCGGCGTATGAGCCACGTATACGCGCAGCAGATACAGCATAGCGCACCTCCATCTGCTCCGGTGTCCACACGTCGAGGTCGACGGACTTGACCTTGCTGATGTGGGTGCCCATTCCGCGGTGGATTCCCGAGCAGCGGATGCACAGGAACACGCCCAGATTCCAGGACGCCCAGCGCGGGTCTGTACTACATGATGAGCGGGATATCGATGTGCATGCACAAAATAATCGAGACCATTTCGTTTGCAGTCCGCACACAGTTTGTTCTCGGGGCGCTTGACGAGTTCTCGTAGCGTCCTGGTGTTTTTATCAGTCGTGGCCTTGTCCTGACGAGACATGAGGAGGAGGTGAAGAGCGGTATTGGTGTGCGCGTGTTTGCCATAGGCTTGCTCTCTACTTTCAACTTTACTTTACTTGCAAAAAATGGCGTCCTCTGAGCTATCTGCGCTGCTGAGCTCGTCGCGCAACCTGACCTCGCATCTCTCGCGCCCAGAGCTCCCTGCGGTGCGCCTGTCTTTGGACCAGGTCGAGGCACAGTCGCGCCGCCTCGTTTCGCGCCAACCGGGCACCACAAATGACACAGATCGCGCGTACGTTCTTGCCAAAAAAAAAGGTATTATATAAAGACTTACACGGCGCAGGAACTACCTCCTCGCGCAGGCGCACGTCGACGCCTCCGCGCTCAGCAGCTCGATCGCGCACCTGAACCCCGCGGCGACATTCTCGCCTTTGCAGCCGCTGCAAGACACGGACGTGTCGGGCTACCTGCGCCACGCGCACGAGCAGACGCTCATCTCGACGATCGAGGAGGGCAGGAAGGACACCGTCGCGGCGTTCTACCGCACGCTCGAGGAGCGCAGCCGCCGCGACTGGGAGGCGAAGAAGAAGCGTGTGTTTGAGGAGCTGGGCGGGCGCAGCGCTGCAGGGGAGAGCAGGAGCGAGGCGAAAGGCAGCAGCAAGTTCGGAAAGAGCGTTTCGGTGATTTATTTCATCTTATTTTTTCAAGCAAGTGGCACTAACGAAAAAAGCAGACGGCGCCGAGCCTGACGCTGCAGATGCAGAGCAAGATGATGGTGTACGACCGCATCATCACAGAGCTCAACGCCGCCCGCCTGCGCGGCACCTCCTACCCCATCGTGCACGCCCTCATCCGCGCGTCCCTTGATGTTGCGCCAGATGTAATTCTCTTTCACACACCCCATATATATATATATACTTATATACCCCCAGCCCCGCGCCCTCCAAACGACGCACACATTCCACGTCCTCGCCAAAATAACCGCCGAGCCGCCCGCGCTCCCGCCCCTCGAGCACGCGTCCGCACACATCCTCAACGCGCCCGTCCTCGCGCGCAAGTACGCGCGTGTGTACCTCGGCGCCGCGTCCGCCAACGGTACTCCCTCATAACAATAATAATAAACCCCCGCTAACACGAACTAGACGCGGACCTGCGCGCGCTGCGGATGCAGATCGCGCGCGGCGCGCGCGAGGCGCTTGAGGAGCAGTATATGGACGTGCTCGAGCGCACGGTGCAGGCGCGCCCGAGCGAGGCGGCGCTGGGCGGGGACCCGAGCGTCGCGAACAAGGTGCGCGCGTTCCTGGCCGTGAGGTACTACAAGAGCGGCGAGTGGGGCGGGGGGATCGAGGTGCGTTGTTGCGTACGGTGCAATATATGGGATTCACTGATGGTCGTGTTGTGCACACACAGCTCGTAGCCGGCCAGCCTTTGTGGGCGAAGCTGTTCTTCCTCGTGCGCACGGGGCACTGCGCGGAGGCGCTCGAGGAGGCGCTGAAGAATCAGCAGGCGATCGAGCACCGCGAGGCGAGCTTTGTCAGCCATTTTAGGACGTGGGTCGAGAGTAAGGAGCGGCGGTGAGTCCTTCTCCTTCCCGTTATCCCTTCCCTCCTTCCCCCTTCCCCCTTCTCCCCTTTATCCCATTTAACTGACGTCTACCCACCCCCCAGCCTCCCCCCTCCACACCGCGCGCACCTGCAAGCGACATACAACGCGCACATGCTGCACGCCGCTGCGGCCGACCCGTTCAAGCTCGCGCTGTACAAGCTCATGGGAAAGCTCGAGGCGACGAGGAGGAGCGTGGGGCCGGCGGTGACGGGGACGACGGAGGATTGGCTGTGGTTCCAGTTGGGGATGGTGAGTTTATTTGCCTCCATTTTCTTACCTGTTTTTTGGGGGAGCGGTCGTTTTTTTTTGGCGAGGGTTTTTTCTTCTTCGACGCGGTCGTTTGGTTGCGGTCCGCATTTTTCATGCCCATCTTTTTGGAAGGCGACAGACAGACATTGTTTGTTTGTTCCTCTCGTTTCGTTTCATTTAAACGAGCGTTGTTCAAACGACTTCCTCTCGTTTCGTTCCAACAACTTGCTTTCATTTCATTTCATTCGAACAACTTGCTTTTATTTCGTTTCATTCGAACAACTTGCTTTCATTTCATTTCATTCGAACGACTTCCGCTCACTTCATTTGCACACGCGCTACCCTCAATTCAAACACGCTCACACCACCCACCCCACAGGTAGACGAAGACGAGGACGGCGGGCTGCGCGGGCTCGCGGAGGTGCTCCTCGGGTACGGCGAGCGCCAGTTCGACACGGGGGGCCGGCGCGGCGTGTGGGCGGGCGTGCTGCTCATGTGTGGGGAGTTTGAGAGAGTGCGTTAGAGTTGTTATTCTCGCAACGCGGAACGCTGTAACCTTTGTTTTCTTTCATTCAGGCCGTTGCGGCGCTGTGGGAGCACCAGGAGACGGAGATCGAGGCGGTGCATCTGGCGATCGCGCTGGCGTACCACGGGCTGCTGCGCGTGCCGTCGCGCGCGGAGACGAGCGACGTGTCGCCGTGTGAGTGCTCATTCTCTTTCGAATGTTGGGAAGAAGAGAACTAATTGACGCCAACCCGCTAGTGACGCTCTCGCCCGCCGCGCCGCCCGCGCTGAGCCTGTCGACGCTCGTGTGGCGGTACGCGCGGCAGTTTGTGAAGATGGACGCGAAGGAGGCGCTGCAGTACGTGTACTGCGTGGGGCTGGCCGCGGAGGGCGGCGCGGGGCGGGAGCAGGAGGCGGTGGGGAAGGAGCAGCTCGAGGCCGCGTGGGAGCTCGTCCGGCGCATTATCGTGCTGGGGAACAGCGGGCCCGCGTGGGAGGAGCTGGTCGGCGGGTTCAGGGGCGATGGGACGAGATTTGTGGGTGTCTCTCCGCCATCTTGTTAGTTAATTATGCTGATCGGATTGGGACGCAGAGCGGGGTGATCGAGCAGGGGGCGGCGCTGCTGCACCTGCGGGACGCGCGGGAGTTCAACGAGAAGATATTGGTAAAGGCGGCGCAGCACGCGGCGGAGAACGACCGGGTGCCCGAGGCGGTGAAGCTGTATAATTTGGCGGGGGAGTACAGCACGGTGACTGCGTGTCTTGCGCAGGCGCTGGGGAACACGATTGGGCTGCCGGGGGCGGACGAGAAGGCGCGCGCGGTGGAGCGGACGGCGGCGGATATTTTAAGGGGGTACGAGCGGACGAATCGC